AAGTAGGTTCAACTAGAAACCCTTAGAAACAGGGTGTGACACACACACACACACTCAGCCGCTTTGTGGCGCTCTGGCGCAAAAACCTAAATAGGCACCTAAAAAAGCCTTAGAAAAGAAAGAAAGAAAGAAAAACAGAAAGAGCAGCGCTAAAAGGGCTCGGAGAGAAAGATAGGTGTAGCAAAAGGTGAATACTCAGCCCTTGACTGGGGCAGGGAAACGAGCCTCAAGAACCACCTAAAAAGCCTGAAAGAACGCCCAAGAAACGATGAAAAACGCAAGAAAGAAAGCGGGGGGCAGGGAGGGGGTGTATGTCCATGTGTGTGTACATGTGTGTGTCTGAATAGCGCTCTAGAGTTACCGATTACTTAGCAGAAACTAATTAGGTGCAATAGTTTAGGGAGCGGGACTTTAGTCTTAAACCGCCCGGGTAGAGTAGACTAGAACAGGGACAACAGAGGGAAAGGCACCGACGCACAAGTGTGTCGAGTACCATTTCCCTCTGTTACCCTAATTAGGTGGGGAGTAGAGAACTCGCCGGGGGGGGGTTGTGTGGGGTCATTCTCCGTATGCCCGGCGGCTTTAACAATCCGTATACCCGGCGGTCGTAAAAACCGTGGTGCCCGGCGGCTTGGATTTTGGGAATACAGTGGTGAAACGAAGTCGGTTAAGATAATCCAACGTGCGCGGAAAGCAGCAAAATCCGTTAGTGATACTCCGGCATGAAAACAGCGCCCGAGTGACGGGGATCACACCCTGCACCCAAGTGGGACGGCAACTCAATTCCCCGAGAAAAGGAATGGCTCAACGGCAAGGTGAAGCGTCCGATCACTTGAAGGTGTTTGAAAAAAGTGTTTCTCGTGATGCATGACTGCAGAACATTAGTTACTGATTACTTAGCAGACCGAACTAACGCCGTGCATGGAAACCTGGTTTGGGGGACGTATCATGAAAACCACCATGAAAGCAAAAAAGATAGTAGAACAGCTTGGACAACAGTTGATTGCAGGTATGTTTGCACCCAGGTGGGGGGTGTCTTCGTTGGCCGGAGACCCCCCACCTGGCTCCGGCCCCTGCATGTAAAAACTCTTGGAAACAGAGTGTGACACACACACACACATCATCATTGCCATCATCTTTGTGGACAGAGCAGCTGCTGCTTACATGCGATAATTTCTCGGGCACTCCTGTTGTCTAGTCTTGCAACTAAAAGATCTGCGCATCGGTGGACAACTCTTTCGTATGGAAAGACTCTTCAAACGTGGCAGTTTACTTTTCGTGTCCATTCCTTGAGAATGTGTGTCGATGTACTTCTGAGAAAGGGAGGGAGCTCCCAGATCTTGTTTTTGAAATCAACGATTGCAGCGAAAGGTTTCCTAGAACAGATGGTTAGTGAACCCTTCCTCGATAGACAAACCAGTTGGTCAGTGTGCAATACTTGGAATGCAAAGATTCGGGTAGCATGTCATTTTTCGAAGTTCTTAGGATGTAATCATTGAGAAGCGATTCCCGACGTTGAAGTTGCCGATTTTGAGCAGAAAGTGGGATATCGCCTGGGTGGTTTGTCAATGGAGCCGCTCTAATTTGGGGATTCCGTCGTGCCATTATGGGGACAGATCAAAATTGTTTGGCAGTTGCTGCAAAATCAAGGCCAAATCAATTGCCAGATGGAGGTGCAAAAACGATTTAACATAGAAAACGCGGAGACAAGAAACACCGCAAGGTTTATAAACAAATCAATGGTTTTGACGCGCCATGCTGCGCAAGATCTAGACCAGTGACAATTCTATTGGGTTGGAGGCCATGGCTATTAGGATGGAGGCCATCGCTAGTAGGATGGAGGAGATAAAATTGTTCCCAATGTTTCATTTTTCCATCCCACCTTTCCCTTCAGAAACTCCTTGGGATGTTGTCAACTTGTTGCCGCGCAGAAGGACATGTTGATAAGAGATCTAACACTTGCCCTTCACGTGTTGGGAAGATACTGTTGGTTGTGTAAGTTATACATTGTCTGACTGACCTCCAAATAAATATTGCCATAGGGTTGCCTGTCCACTGCTTGGATCGCCTAGGTGACAACTGCTTTGTAGGGAACGACAACTGCTTGCCGGCGGGGCTGCCAGAGGGCAGCTTCTGCGGTCTAAATACATCGCTACCCAAAAGGCCTGACCAGAAGAACTTGGGCTACTTCGGAACCCCTGCGATGACCTTCAAACGCCCAAGCAGCTTAAGCAAGGATGGCTCACCAGAGGAAGATTCCACTGCAGCTTTGTGGTGGTTTCACTTCAGCACCAATGTGATTGATATCTTCATTTTGCGCGGCTTGCAGGCCATGGTTGTTGCATCTTCGCTTGTGATGAGCAGGTGCCTGTTTCCTTCCACCACGAACACTTCAGTTCTGGCCGTGCTATTCATGGTGACGCTTATATACCTCCTGATGAAAGTTGCATCTTGGCTCGCCTTTTCTGTCGTTCTTGGCAGGCTCTTGTACAACGAAGCCATCCCAACCAGCAGCACGTACCACTCCACGACAGTCACGCGGTGGTTCACATCTATCATGCTCCAAAAGTTCATTTTCACTTCGCCCTTTCGTACGGCGGGAACTCATTGGCATGCACATCACTTTCGTTTGCGAGGTGCCAAAATTGGTCAGCGGTTCTTCTGTGTGCATGACAATGCCCTAGTAGACGCACCGTTTATCTCAATTGGAAATGATGTGATCGTAGACTATGATGCAGACATCAGAGGCCACTCATTCGAGGACCGCCGATTGAAGTTTTCTCCGGTCACGATTGGCAACAGAGCGCGGATCATGGCAGCTGCCAAGGTTGCCATGAGTGACGTCGGTGAGGGAGCCGTGTTGCGACCAGCAAGTGTCACTTGGAAGGGCAACAACCTTGAACCCAACAGAGTCTATCAAGGAGCTCCAGCAGTCGAAGCGAGTGCATTCAACCTAGGAACGAGTGCAGATAAGTTTGGTGACTCTAATTAGACAGAGTGCAGGCTGTGTAGTGCTTAAGGCAATTTCGGCAATTTTTGGTGCTCTGACAGAACGAAAGTCGGACTCCGAACCGCCTGTACCTCTGTTTTTATAAATGGTTTTGTATATTTTTATGTTGGCACTTCGTCCAAGCTTTTTTAGCATGCCATCATCGGACCCCAATTTTGCCAGGTAAGTTGCATTCCTTGCGCAGAGTACATAGTTCATGCCACAACAGATCCATGCAGCTGTCTGTTTTTTGGACGAATTGCTACGGACACATTGGAACCTGTACAGTCGAGAAACGTTCTCCCTGTGCTCTGACTGCGACCAAAGTTGGACTCAGGACTCTTGACATTCCGCCACTTATTGGACGCGGAATTGTAAAATGAGCGATGCTACAGGGTGAGGATAGGCTTGGGAATGTTTTATTCTACGCTCGCTTTCAGAGGTATCTATATACACGTACACATTTGATGTTTCAGTTGGGAGCCTGGCTGCCTGAGAAATCAGACGCGGAAGTGCCAAGAGGGAGTGCCATTGGACCAGATGTTGGAGCGCCATCTGCAAGTGTGCACTTCTGAGCAAATTGCACCAGCTCCCAACTTTTTTCTTGGTGACAGCAGTCTTGAAGAACTCAGGAGAAGCTGTGAGGAAGAGATTCACCTTCCCCGGACGGTCTTTGTTAGTTCACCTTAACCAGCATCTCCAAGAGAATAAAGATGGCACGTTCATTGGGATAAACCTCCGGCAGGTCTTGCATCACCACTTTCTGCAGCCCTTGGTCAGTGCAGAGGAGGCCTTCGCGTACATGGTGGGCGATACTGAACCGATGGGTTCCATCTTCAGACCGAACAGAACACCTATTGGGTTCCGATGGGTTCGGCGTGTCACTTAGAGTAAGCGTTCTCCGCTTCTTTTAGTTTTCCGGATCGTATGGACACGCTCAAGACTATAGTGACATGTTTTTGGACATCTTAGTTACTGCAAAAAGGTCTTAAAGGACGAGATGAAAGCGACGATCCGCAGAGATGCTCTGCAGGCGATTCAGACCCAAAGCACCGGTCACTCCGAACCACGTCCGTTCGCCGCACTGAGCGAGTGCGACCGACCACGTCAGGGCCGCCGGAAGGCCAGCAGTGATTCGGAGGAGAGGGGTGAGGACCAACCGAGTCCTCCGACCGTTTTGAAAGAGAAAGCACTTGAGAAAGGAGGTGAAGGAGGTGAAGGAGGTGTAGGTGATAGGGGAGTGGTCTCTTGGATTGTGCTATCATGTGCTATCTATTTGCAAAGACTCTAGGGGTCGACATCTTTGAAGATAGAGATGCTGACAGGTCTAAAGGTTTGGAGCAATGGTTTAACATTGTTTAACAGATCAGTGGGGATTTTTGAAAGATGAGGACCTGGCATGCTCCAGTTCTTCGGACCCAAACACATGGTCTTTTCCAAAGCACTGTTTCGACCCCAAGACTCATCGACGCATCGACCCTCTCTTGAACTCATCGACACATCGACCCCCCTCGATCCACCGGCGGCTTGGACACGGACACGGCACAATCTGGGGGTCTGTTCAGCAAACCATCTGCGACCTGGGACAATGAGAGCCTGTTCAGTCTTTTTCCAGGAAGATGAAACCTTGTTACTAGTAGCTTCTTGTTCCTAGTAGTAATGCCAGGAGCCCCTAGTAGCTTCTTGTTACTAGTCGCTTCTTCATCCATCTCATCCCAGCTTCAGAGACCTTCGCCCTAGTGGGTGGTGCAGGCACGGAGTGCTCGAAGCGCGAGGAGTGCACGAAGCCGCAGCCAAAAGGCCGGGTTTGGTGCAATGTTTTGGCTCGTTGAAGGCAGGGATTATGGATGGACTCTTCTGTTTGCTGATTCAGTAAATCCCAAAACAGCGGTCTTTTTATTCTGCTTGACTTTTGGATGGGTCTACGTGTTCGTTTGTCCCATAGGGCATCCCCCTAAATGAGCAGCTACAGGCTTTTTCCCTTGCTTGCGTCGCAGGCGGCCGAGGCCCCGCAAAAAGAGCCGCCGCTTCCAAGCGGTGCGGGGCTCGGCCTGTAAGAGCGTTTTTGAACCTGCGTTGTTGTCATCCTGCAGTCACTTATGGTAAAAGGTAGAACTCCAGGGATAGTGCGACGAGTTTCGAGTGCGGTAGTAGTGCCACGGCGCATCTGGGGCGGAGAGAACTCCAGGAATCAACGCAAGTTGTGGGTGCCAACCGTCGCTGACGGTTCGGGATGCGACGAAAAGGACTTCTTGAGTTGGACCCCCTAGAGGGAAAGTTGATGAAAGCCCCAGGGGCTGGAAACCCATCCTCCTGTTTGTATGACGTAACATACACGCATGGACTACGGCCCAGCAGGTCTTGGTCTTGTATGGGTCAAGAAAGAACCCAGGTGTGAGGTTGTTGGTGAAGCTGTGTTTGCTACTTCTGTCTTTGAACGATAGATCGAGCTCCTGAAGAACCTGAAGTACATTCTGACTCTGAGACTCTGAGGTTTGTTTTCGGGTCTTGATTTCGGTGACACCGAAAGCTCCGAGGCTATCCGCAAGCTTTGCCTTTGCCGACAGCCTTACTCCGCACTCACGAACTGTCGGAGGTGCGGGTTTACATGCAGAAACCATCTCGCGAAGAAGCGGGAAAACAACACATCTGCTTTTCTTTGTCCCATGTTGTTGGTTTCTGCTAGCTAGCTGCTAGCATACTATCCCCCTCAACCACTCAACCAGAGATCTTCTTCAATTACAAGACAAGACACTCTCTTGCAGAATCTGTTCCATCAAGCCGACGAGAGGATGTAGATGGAATGCAGCTGGGAGAATGGCTGGCCCATAACTTTCCCAATGTCAATGAACGAATTCCAGCAAAACGTGATTAGTCACATAGCAGTCACCAGGCAACCTCTAGCTACTAGTAACAAGAAGCTACTAGGTTGGAGGCCATCGCTACCAGTAACAAGACGCTACTAATAGCTCCTGGCATTACTAGTAGCTAGAAGCTACTAGGAACAAGAAGCTACTAGTAGCAAGGTGCATCGCTACTAGGAACAAGTGCATCGCTACGAACGTAGCAAAGGACGCTACGAACGTCGTCGGGTCGGCCGACAAACATTTAACTGTGCCTCTTCGCATCGAAAGCCACAGGTGAAGCTGCAAGCAGGTCGCGCAGGCGAGGACCATCCGATCGGATATCAACGGGTGAGGGAACCGGTCGAACTGGATCCGGATGTGGTCGAACTGGATCAGAAATGTGCAGCATTCTGCGGGAAACCTGTCAGTTGAGTGTTCGAATTGGTGAAGAAACTTGAGTTCATGCTCTTGTTCGAGCAGTAGTCCATGTACCTACCAGATAGTTGACTACTGTGGCAGCCTGGGCCTGAAGCATAGAACTCAAAACCATCAGGAAGTGCTTTTAGATTTCTTCTTCTTAGGCACATGTGGCATAGATCTATGGGAGGCACGCATACACACGTACAAGGGACATGATTCTCCATGTGCGAGTCTATTGAAGACTCATTTTGCAACCTCTAGGAACATCGATGGAACCGTGTATCAATCTCCTGCAAACCGCATACACATCTATACACACTGTTTGATGTACAGCTCGTCACTCTGCAGTGCTGCAGTGGTCGAGCGATTTTGGATCAATTGCATAGCCAGCCCAGGTTCTGGCGCCACAAAATTCCTTCCGTTTTGTTGGAGATCAGTGTTTTGCCAACGTTTGGCCAAAGACTTTTCTCAGCTCTCCCAGCGGAGCACATCGGAGCATCGGATCCAATGGGGTTTTTGACCGAGCACCAAGCCCAACCGGTGGACCGCCCTCCCGCCAGTGGATGATCCGAGGACCAAGGCCTTGAGTCGGGCGACGTGGGCGGGGTGGATCCAGGTGGTGATAAACGGGAAAGAAGCGTTCAGAATGACGTTCTTTGGAGTGTCAGAACACATAGCCTAGCAAGTTATATATCTGATAGGTTATAGGAATATGCCCATGCTTGCCCTCCCTTTGCAGCTTGTGGCCCCTCGGTTTTTGTGGGAAGGTGAGGCTTTGAGCGCACAGGAATGCCTACGGCTGACTTGCATGAAAAGAACATGTTTTGCTTCAGACGCCTCGCTTGCTTCAGGATCATGTTGATTTGACTCCCAGCTTCAAATTGTTGCAAGGGTCACCCCGCAGATCTCGAAACAGCTCTGCGCCCTGAGCATCTAAACTGGATCGATTCATTCGATGAAGAAGCGCGCTGCTTGGGGGACACTATCTTCTTGACGAGGCGCACTTCACGTGTTGTGATCTTCTAGGATTGGGTCGTGCAAGATGTACCACTTTTCGTAACGGAGAGGCGACAGTCTGACCAAGCTAGGCATGGTTTCTCAGACAGGACCTGCACCTTGAGCAGGAGGAAATAAGACCTGCAACTCGAAGAGTTGGTATCTCGTTCGTTTTTCATCACTTCTGGGCATGTTGAGTTGGACTCCAACGCCGCTCTACCCACAGAGTGCAAGGGACACATGGATCTCTCCATTTTCAGCACTCTACACACCGTTGGCCGGGTGTGGGGCGATGCGCAGCAGAAGGAAGCTGACGTGTACCGTGTACTATGTACATGCTCAGCTTCGGCAGTTTGAGGCCAACCCACCGCAGTGTCCCTTTGGGATGGAGCGGCTGTCGTCTCCATCCTCGGCGGATGACAGTGAGACAATGGGCTAATGTGCTCACTGGGCTGCTCAGTGCCACACTCACATCCGGTATTGGTGAGTGCCGGCATGCTTCTGCTGTGCAAGGGGAGGCCATTCACCCATCACTTGGATGGTTCGAAAGATGAACAGAAAACTCTGGGATAGGTCGTTCACGGGAGGCAAACACCCTCCCTTCATTCATTTTGCTGGTTTCAGCTCTCTGTCGTTTGACACGTGCCCTGTCGTCACTGTGAGGTTGTCCGGATCGGAACATGTCGAATCCACTCCCCGTGACTCGTCACTCTTCTGGAGTGATGTTCGGAACAGGACACGTGTAATGCCTGGAATGCCCCAGAAGTAGAGAGTCTGTGGCAGTGGATTCTCTTGTGGCCCCATTGAAGCTGTCAGTTCCTTTGAAAACCTCACAGGTGAACCCTACCACCACGTGCCAAGTCGCATGAGGCTCGCGAGGGGAAGAAGCCCATGCCGCTCGAGCGCTCGTTGTCACCAGAGGCGAAGTATCAGCCGCTCTGCCAAGTCGAACACCGTTGTGGCTGTGAAAGACGGACACCGTGCGAGACATGGCTTTGAGCCGAACATCCTTTGTTTTGGAATGCCTTTTGGGTAGTCATTTTT